ATCAACTCCATGCTGCTTATCACTTGCCGTCAAGTGCCGACTGATATCATTTGATTTCTGACATTTATTTCGTACTTGAATGTTTGTATTGCGATTGTTGACATCTAACAAATTCCAATCATCATTGATCGAGTCGTCTAAGTTTTCTCTAGATTTGATTGACTTTAATTTATATTTGGTCAAGTTTTGTTCTCCGTGTCGCCCTTTTACGTCGTTTGAGTCCGCGCTTTCATCCGCTTGGGGCTTCGTGAGTGTTGCCTGCCTTCCTCGAGAACCATTAACACAGGAAGGATGTGGCGTCTCATCACATTTCACACCCTGAATATTTGATTGCGATTTCACCTTCTTCTTCGCCCTCAAGCTATCCCTTTTCTCATTCTTCGTTTTCAAACGGCTCGGCTCACTTTCCTCGTCTTGCTTTAACGTTTGAGGTAACTTGCTAGGTGCACTCTCATGCATATTCAGACTCGACTTTACCGTCTGCTTATCCTTTTCATTTTTCGACATTTCAAAACATCGTGCCTTACTTTCATCATCGCGTAATTCTTTGACTTTCTTTTCTCCAATGCCAGAGATTTGACTATCACCAGTTGGCGTAATTTCAGGGCAATTTTCGGATTTGGAAATTCTTTTATTGTGGTGCTGGTCTTTACGGAGAGATTTTCTCTTTTTACGTGGCGCATGAGCGTTCATCTCGATAACTGGTGTCTGCTCAGAAGAGTTAGACTCGTTTGAAAGCTGTAAACGAGGGGACTTAGATGGCTTTTCAGTGGCAGATGAGCGGATATGAAAAGCTTTATTTGGTTCAGCTTGTGTTTCTATTTCGGTTCTGTCATTAGTATACCCACCCTTTTCTCGATTATCCGATTGGTAGCCTGATGCAGATGATTTTTCTTGATGAATATTGTCTACTTCTTCGAGATGAATGTCACTTCTTACTTCACCGGATGCTCGTATACAGTCACTCAAAACGATAAGCCTTACGGGCTGTTTCTTTTCAGTCCTATCAGATAAGGAATATGAAGGACCTACTTCATATTGTGAATTTGATAATGGATATAGTGTATCAGACTTTTCGTTGCTCGACTCAGAAGATGTGCTGATTTTCTGGTGACGCCTCGCATAGTTATCCCCATGTTGTGAACTCGTTATTGAATTTTGGTTTTCCGCCGACAAACTTTTCGAAACTTCTCCTTTCTCAAAATCGTGTGAGTCGAGCGGCAAACCTGAAAGCGACGGCTTGTGTTGGATTGAGGCTGATGGTTCAGCTGGCTTTGCATATTCCCTCAAATAAGTTTTTGTTTTTTCTTTCATGCCGGATGTATGTTTCAATTTTAATCCTTCATTATCGAACTTGCGCGATCCTTCCAGAACTATAGGTGGGGTTATTTCATCAAAATGCTCATTTTGGAGATGAGTTGAGGATACCACATCAGCTCCAGGTAGAAACTCGTCGACGATCTCAGAATCATAATGCAGAGGTTGAGCGGTGTAGACATCAGAGTGCGATGGACTGACCATATCTACGTCAGGGTGCGGTGGATTTCCGTTATCGGCTTCAGGGTGTGGTGGACTGACGATGTCTATGCCACTTTTTGCTTGCTGGAGGACATCGGTGCCACATAGTTGATTCTGAGTCAATTGCTCGCTCGTCTCATATTGGAGGTCGTGTTGACTCATACGCTTGTGTTTCTCGAGAGTTTCTTGCCAGGGTTCGTTGACGACGTGGTTCAATACAGACAAAGGAATTGATCGATGTCTGTAAAGGGGCCTTGGTTCCTCAATTTCAGCTTTATTATTTTCATTTAGTCCAGAATTGGACTTCTTCGATTTTGAGGAAGATTTGAAACCAAATGCATTTTTGTCAGAGAGGTTTTTGGTTTCCCTTGCTGGGGATTTGTGTCGCCCAGTAATATTGGAAGCGCTTCCTGAACTTCTTAAGGGCACGTAAGTTTGTATGTAATGTGATGGTTCGTCTGGTGACTTATCATTGGACGAATAACTGCTACTCAAACTATTCTTTACCCTCAACGGCGTACCGTCCTCGTCAATGAGCTGCTCGTTGCTTCGGAGATCTATTTCTTGGTCCATCATAGAAGGGTCGGTCTTATTCCTCTTGAGTTTTGCTTTTTTCACTGATGATGACACCTGGAGTGGTGAATTTATTTCTGACTGATTCTCATCCTGATCGTTTGGTTGACTTCGTTTTCGTTCGGTCTTGTGAACATTGTCGAGCAGCTCTAGGTCGTGTAAGCTTCGTGACTCCAATTGAGGACGAGCAACCAATACTTCGTGGGTGGAATTTGTTTTCTTGCGAGAGATGCTACGCCTCACTTCGCCACATTCGTCAGTGAACGATATCTCGTGCACTGATAATATTTTCATCGATTTACTTTTAACTCTTGAATTCATCGGCTTCATCTCGGCAGCTTCCAAAGACTTCAAAAGGTCAGTACTTGATCTAAAACGTTTTTTGTTTGTGAGGTTCTGGTCTGTCGGTTCGTCCGAGTCTGAGATGAACTCTTGAATCATGTTTTCGTAGGAGCGACGCCTGACCATTTTAGGTGATCCACTGCTTTGGTGCTCATGCGTTGGCAACTTCTGGTGACTGCGACCGATTAAGAGTCTACCTTGTTTAGCTTTGCGCCTCTGGCCCGTACCTTTGTCAAGCGGGTCAACTTTCTCCATATCGATTTCTCTTAAGGACATTCTTCTTTTCGCTTCGTGAGGAACATCGGTTGCATTTTGACCGAGGAAATCGTTGGACGCGTGAAAAGTAGGGAAAGTTTGGACTGGCACATTGGGTGATGTCATGACTTCTGTGGCACACTCGTTGGGAATATTTCTGCTTTTTGGTGAATGAGCTGGTCTTATCCTCGTCAAAGACTTCGATCGAACTCTCGTACGTCTTGTGGGTGGCGAAGGTTCATCAACAGGCATGATAACTGCACCTCGAGGTAGAGTCATAGAATTACTACGCAATGGGTTAGGTTCTGGTTGCGGCGAGCTACTTTTGTCAAAACCAAAGAACTTCTTCAAAGACAAATTTTGTGACTGCCGTCGGGGTCGAGGAACTACATGAGGGACGTCTTCTGAGAATCCTGGGTACTCCGCTGGGAACATTGGATGCCCACCCCTGTCACGTCCGCTTCCCACCCTACCTAAACTGGTGGTCCTACGACGCAGACGCGGTGGCGGACCTTCAGATGGTGGCATTGGTGGAGGAGGACGACCCCGCTGGCGAGGCCGGTATCGCCCAACGAATGGAGGAGGCGCAGGTCCTGACGCTTCCTCTCCCCCTGCAGGATTAGCATTTCGCCCAACGCCTGTTGGGGCATAACCCCTACCCCTTCGGGGCTTCATGCCTTCTAGGAAGACAACGCTGATAGAATCTTCACAACAGTCACAAGAAAATCACTGTGTTCTGTTTCACAATACACGCTTCACTGTCTTACCTCGAATGTGAACTATGAAACCATTTCTTCTAACATTCAGAGTAACAAAAAACACTTCAGGTAAACGGAGTAATCACAATCGCCCGTTAAAACTGTAATGCTCGACACAATCCGCTGGCAACACAAATGTTACACTGACGCTATAGAGGTTCTCAGGGCAGTACATCAGTAACGACGATGTTGTTATCGTTATCATGCGATAAAACTCCTGCTATCAGCCAGCTAGTGTGCTCGCTACTTTACTGCTCTTAGCCCTCTGCGTAGTAGCATGAAGAACTTAGGAACTGAATTTTGTACCTGAATAAAGATTCGAATCTAAAAGAACTAAGTTCTGTACCCTGAATAAAGGTTCGAATCTAAAGGAACTAAGTTCTGTACCGGTACCCTGAATAACGGATCGAATCTAAAGGAACTAAGTTCTGTACCGGTACCCTGAATAACGGATCGAATCTAAAGGAACTAAGTTCTGTACCCTGAATAACGGATCGAATCTAAAGAAACTAAGTTTTGTACCCTGAATAACGGTTCGAATCTAAAGAGACTAAGTTTTGTACCCTGAATAACGGTTCGAATCTTAATTACAATTTGAAAATATCACTCAATGAGCGGGTTGGTATACATCATAAATGTAACCAGTATATACGGGTTTCTTACTGGTAGGAAACTATAACATAATTCATTTTTTACCTACATTAAATTTTAAAAAATTTAATTCAATGTAAGAGTTTGTATATGCCTTGTGATAAAATATCTAACGTTTGCTTGGGTTATTATTTAAATTTGCGTTCGCAAAAGTCTACTTACGATGTTACAAGATACACGCCTCGAGTTTTATTGAGAATTTTTGTGCGCCATACTTCCGCATACATGTGCACTGTGTATGTGCCCAGAATGTAAGCTGTGTAAACGTACACAGCATCCACGTACACGGCGTACACGTACACGGCGTACACGTACACGGCGTACACGTACACGGCGTACACGTACACGGCGTACACGTACACGGACGCGTGTCGTTAAGCAGCCGTTGAGTCACGCGTGGCACCGCAAGCAACTTTCTCTAGCTAGCTGCGGCAGCAGCACAGCAGCAGCAGCAGCAGCAGCACCAGCAGCCGCAGCAGCAGCACCAGCAGCAGCAGCACCAGCAGCAGCAGCAGCGTAGCGTCACGTTCCGTTACTCGACGTCGCTCGTTTGGTCGCCCGCGTGCCAGGTGACCTGAACCTGCGGTACCTGCGGGACCTGCGGTGCCTGTGGGACCTGCGGAGCTTGCGAGACCTGCGGTGCCTGCGAGACCTGCGGTGCCTGCGGTACCTGCGGGACCTGCGGGACCTGCGGTACCTGCAGTGCCTGCGGGACCTGCGGTACCTACGTCATTCATTCCAGTCCTTAGACAACTCAGTCTTTCATACATGCCACTGCAGGTAAATGCTGACCTTGATAATAAATGATACTTATCAATTATTAACTACTTAATAGAGATGATAATTATTAATCAATATAGGTAAGAGCCAATTAAGAATCAAACTGAACTGAGAGATACTCACTGGTGGCCATAGAAGGAAGGCTGTCCATCAAGTCCTCTTGGTCGAGTGCAGCGGCCCAGGCCATGTATGAGGTACGCGCTCCACACGACATGCCCGTGGGGCCCCTTTCTCCCGTCGTAGAGGCCCTCTGGGGACCATCAGCGGGGTCACCCCTCCAGCTGGGTAGGTCGCACACGGAGGAACTGGTCCTCACCTGGACATGTCCTCCGTCGTCCAGCATCTTGGTGATGGAACTCAAGTCCGAGATGGACGAGGACAGGTTCCAGTGGTAGCATCGGGCTGTCCGCGAGAAGGTGTCGGTGTCCAGGTTGGAGTTACTCGCGTATTCGCCAAAGTCCGAACTGGAGCAGGAACGGGGCAGCGAATCAGGGTCTTCCCGCCATCTTTGTATCTCAGTTGGTTTTGGGTAGTCCTGTGTCCCAGATGGAGAGAGGTTTGTTGACCATCTTTGCATTCCAGTAGAAGTTGGGTAGTCCTCGTCTCCAGATGGGGATTCCTTCCCTATGGGAAAACCTTGTTGTGCAGAAGGAGAGAAGGATGCCCGGCCGTTAACCATAGTATACCCTTTTTCATCCTGCTCCTCAAACTTACCCTCAACCATTGAGGGTTCGTCCTGTTCGCTGATATACAAAGTATCAGCACGCAACGACGAGCCGTTCGTTCTGCTGCAGTTGTAAATTTCTTGGCGAGGCGAAATAGACGAGTCGGTGTAACCAGAGTTCTGTTTAGGTTCCTGGACTTGAGCTTTAGGTCTCAAGTTCTTAACTGAAAACTGTGACATGCTTGACGTGAAGCCGTCATAGCTGAGATCAGGGCTAGACTTCGTAAGGCCAGACTTGTTGACTCCAAAATGATTAGCAGATTTCACGATGTCAGGCAGTTGGTAGGACATGTCGGTGGGGTGGTATGAGTTATAAGGCAGCTGGTAGGATGTCTTTAGATTATAATCATGGTCAGGGTGTTCGGTGGTTTCATTTTCGATGCCATTGATCCTTTTCAAGCTTTTCTCGCGTATCACCGACATCTCGATTGACCAATCCTAGACACTTACCTAATCACTGAACTTTACAAGACCCTGAGTCACCTGCTGCATTCAACTACACCCACCAATTCTGACATGGTCAGAATTCAACAATTAAGGATTCATTTCCACGAGAAGTCCATGAAAGTCATGTCTGCAACGTAATTTCCTATTTATAATTAGAATTATCTGTGTTCACACTTTAAATATATGATGAATAAATCTAAAATCTACGGATAATTTTAAAAATTGCATGATCTACGGTAGACCAATTATTTTCGCAAAACCGACAGGGTTCTTGGGTACAAAGTTTATACGCGCTCCAGGTGGCATTTTCACGAGGACTCCTTTGAATTTTCATCCAAATAATAATTAATTATCTTACATCGACCATTTATAGTTTATTATGTCTTTATTATCGAGCTCTGGAGACTGGAGAGTACAAGGAACAATTTACGCACCACTTACGACCATCACACCTGATACGACCATCGTAAAAACAAGTTGGTATGACCTCTTCGGATCGATATATATTATTATTAATAATTTAAAAATTATATATTTTATTAAAATCTGTTAGATTTTAATAAAACCTATTAAATATTTCAACGATGTTTTCTTCGTGTGTTTTGTCTGTGTTCACGAATTTATTTGTTCGTCTGTGTGATCACCTGTGTGTGCGTTCGTTCGTTTCTGTGTTGGTGTGTTCTTGTATTTCTTTGTGTATTTTTGTAACGTAAAAAATATTAATGTATACAGCGCGTATCCAGGATACCGTGTCGGGGAGATGTTACCGGGACGTGAATTTTTCTTGCTTTCTTTGAACGAAAAAATCAAATTGAATAGAAAATTTTAGTTTCAAATTTGTTCAATTAAAAAATCAAAATCTAATTCAAAAATAAAGAAACGTTGTTTTGAAAGGTTATTAAGGTAATGAACGCTAATTAAAAGAAATATTAATCTGATAACACTCAAGATTAGATAAGAGGATTCCTGAAGCTAAGGACTTTGTATCCTGAACGGTCCTAACTTGTGGGGTTGAGCGGGTAGGTTGAATTGAGGTGGAATTCAGAGTGAATTCAGGTTGAATTCCGGTTGAATTCAAGTTGAATTCAGGTTGAAATCATATTGAATTCGGGTTGAATTCGGGTTGAAATCAGGTTGAATTTAGGCTGTATTCAGGTTGAATCCAGGTTGAATACAGGTTGAATTTTGTTTGCGTCAGTTCAACTTGGGATAATTTTAAATTCACGTTGGGTTCTGGTTGAGTTTAGTATGGGTTCAGGTTGGGTTTGTATCAGGCCCAGATCAAGTTCAGCTTGGGTTCAAAATAAGGTTTATTTGAGTTCGGGCTGCATCTAGGCTGGACTCAGGCTTAATTCTGGTCATATTTAGGTCAAATTCGGGTTGGGTTCAGGCTGGGTTCTGGTCCTGATCAATAGTTTGGATCATGTAGGCAGGGTTCAGTTTATGTTCCGTAAGAATTCAGTAGGGTTCAGTATGGTTAAAGTCGGGTTCAATTCGCGTTTAGCTTGGGTTCATTGTGGGTTCAGTTTGGGTTCATTTAGGGTTCAGTTGGGGTTCATTTAGGGTTCAGATGGGGTTCATTTAGGGTTCAGGAGGGGTTCATTCTGGGTTCAGTTGTGGTTCATTTAGGGTTCAGGAGGGGTTCATTTAGGGTTCAGGAGGGGGTTTACTATGGGTTTAGGTTGTTCCAGTGTTGGCTCAGAAGTGTGTCAGGGCAGGTGCAGACAGCGTTCAGTGTAGGTTCAGGTCAGGTTCAGAATGGGTTCAATGAGAGTTCAGGTTCAATTAGCAAACAATGGCGGAGTGAACACATGACATCACGCACGGCTTAGACATACCTCAGTCATACCACTGAGGCGTGACACGTACACGTGCTATACGTACACGTACAGTGCTATACGTACACGTACAGTGCTATACGTACACGTAAAGTGTTATACGTACACGTGCAGTGCTATACGTGCAGTGCTATACGTACACGTGCAGTGCTATACGTACACGTACAGTGCCATACGTACACGTACAGTGCTATACGTACACGTCACATTCCCCACGCTGGAGTGCACGTCACATTCCCCACGCTGGAGTGCACGTTACATTCCCCACGCTGGAGTGCAAGTCACATTCCCCACGCTGGAGTGCACGTCACATTCCCAACGCTGGAGTGCACGTCACATTCCCCACGCTGGAGTGCACGTCACATTCCCCACGCTGGAGTGCACGTCACATTCCCCACGCTGGAGAGCACGTCACATTCCCCACAGTCGCAAGACAAGATCACTCCTTTCCTAGCCAAAGGCCAATTACTTTAAATTGTTTGAGGAAAACTTAATGAATTGAATAAAAGTTTGCCGTCAAACACGCTGCTGTTGGACACCAAACATTTGGCAGGCAAATGCACAGCTGCTACACCGAATATTTGACGGGAAATTTAAGACGACGATCGACACGACACAGCGACACACCTTCCCTCACCACGGCCAGAGCAGCACTGATGCGTGCACAACCGCTACACTCAGTCAGCCAGCGCGCGCCAGCCTTCCAGCCAGTCAATAAGCGTCTTCTAGACAGAATTCCAGCCATTTTCGTCCGGCCACAGTCTTATAGCCACAGTTTTACAGCCACAGTCTTACAGCCATAGTCTTACAGCCACAGTCATACAACCACAGTCGTCCTACCACAGTCTTACAGCCTGTTGCTTACAGCCATAGTCTTCCAGCCATTCTTCCAGCCATTCAGCCAGTCTTCCAGTCACTGTCGTCCCGTTTGAAATCCAGCCACGATCCCAGCCATTCATTCAATTCGAGGAATTCGAGGAAGTCTTTCAGCCTGATCTCATCAGCCACATCCCAGCAGTCTTTCAGCCACATGCCGACACAAAAATTTATAATATAGATATGGTAATATATATAAAGTTTAGAAGATTAGAATATTTATGATTATTCTATAACAAAATTGGTCTCAAAGCCTTGAATTTCTTTCCCGTTCTCATTTAATATCATGACTAAACATATAACGACGATATAACGCGACGAGCTTTCTTACGCAAGCTCTACGTGGATGTGACGCGGTATCTTATCTTTACGTATTCTCCCGCTCAGAGAAATCAGTGGGACTCTGTCCAAATTTATAGTGTATTTATTTCATCTTGTGTGAGTCATCCTGACACAGTTTGGCCTGTCAGAAAATGTTTTGGAACCGAGTTCAGGAGAATAAATGGAGAACTGATACGTCCTTTTACCGGGACAAAATGTGTTAGAACGACCAACATGGGATATATTTGGATAATATATCCCATTGTGGGTGTTCAGCTTACGTTAAGGTTGAGGGTAGGTTAAGGGTGGGTTGAGGGTGAGTTGAGGGTGGGTTGAGGGTGGGTTGAGGGTGGGTTGAGGGTGGGTTGAGAGTGGGTTGTGGGTGGGTTGAGGGTGGGTTAAGGGTGGGTTGAGGTTGGGTTCAGGTTGAGTTCTGGTTGTGTTCAGAGTGGGCTCAGGGTGGGTTGAGAGAGGGTTCAGGGTGGGTTTCGGCTCAATATACTAAAAATTTTATTTTTTGTTGATGCGTGACCTTGCTTGTGTGTGTTTTTATGTGTTTGATATATGGAAAACACGAGGGAATAAATAAATTAAATTTTTTAAACGTTGCCTTTTTAATATATTTTGAATCATTTATCTCGCATCCTAGATTCGTATCTCAGGTTTGTGAGGCATCGCGAAAACTGTACTAATGCTAGTATAATAGAAAGATGAAGAAGTTCAAAAAAGTTCAAAATTACAGATTATAAACGTGATCCCATGGCCACTCATGTTCGCCTTCCCTCCCCAAACCCCTCGAGAAATTAGCCTAACCCCCACTCACCCCTACCGTCTAACCCCGCATATCCCCTCCCCTCCCCTTCCCTCTCCCCAGAGCCTCCCCTTTAGTGACCAATTCGGGACTGCGGTTAACAAATTAGATTACGCAACCTTATCTGGTGAACCTGTTCTGGGTTAGAAACGAACGTGGCAGACTCACTCGTGGAAGTTCCGTGTTAATCTCACCGTGTAAATCTCTAGAATGTTCTTCATAATGAATTCAGAAATTTGAATATATCTGAGCTGAATAATAAAGTGAGTGTTATGAAATCGTTGGTATTTCGTGAATTAATAATTTAATGTGGAAATATTATCAAATCTCGAGGCAAGAAACGTTCTTCCGTAACCGGGAAAAGTTTAAACTACACATTATACGTTATAACTACGCTTATTATATATTAAAAACTCGATAAAAAATTATTTACTCAGCAATAAGTATTACAATATTATATTTAACTTCCATCAACGCAAGCACTTGGGAAGTTGGGACTGCCGATTGCACGACACAGGAAGGGTTCAAGATAAAACTTAAGTCAATCCTCAAAAATTTCTATATGATCAGCAAAGAAAACGGAATGTTCAATTTGATGATAAACTGAAATATAACTTGATTCATGACTAACACGTCACGCTGCCTCACGGTGCTGATTCACGCCTAGCCTGAAAAAGTGAAAATGAGATGTTGATTGAACGAGGTAATTACATAAAGCGTTCAAATATTGAAGAAAATAATGAAGACAATTTACTGCAGATGATCGGGAAAATTTGATGATTTTAATTCAATTAAATAAAAAAGTCTAGTAAATAAAATCAGAGTCTAGACACTGACACTAGAGCCTCAAGTTCTGTTTGCGAAGAAAGATTTGCGACTCAAGCCATAATTAGAAAACCAAGTTTGAAACTGAAAAACCGTAGCCATTTTTAAAGTTTGCCTAAGTTTCGTACTAGAGTTTCGTTTGCCGTATCGTACCTAGTCGGTACAATATATTAAACAACTGAACTTTTATACGAATTCTAAAGGATCTATATATGTTTTGTCATTAGATCAGTGACGGAAATAGCTCGCAATTGCCTTCGTCAGGTTAACCGTCGAAGAATACCGCGTAGGGTTTCCTACAGGGCTCTTATGTTCATGTTGACCAAATGTTACTTATGTATGACGTATTGCTTGATGGATTGGTAATATTCATGGCAACATTATTTGCAATTGAGACGACACTATTAATTTTTCACGTATATTGCCATATGATAGCATTATCCCTGAATGAAAGTACACGCGCATAAATTTTTACAAATATCATA